CAGAGCAGCTGAGGGAGGATCCAAGACCAGGCATAGGAAGGAACAGTAAAAGACAGGAAGTCCCGCCTCACCCAGGCTCCAAAGGCAGCCTAAACATTTTGTGGCCCATGTTTTGGATAATGTATCCATCGGCTTCCATCATTTGTTCAAAGTGAGGCTACAAAACCATGTATCCACACCTGGAGGCTGCTTTAGGAAATAGGCCTCCTCTCACTAGTTACATCTACAAACCTGCACACTGCCTGATCCTAGTGTCCATATAAGAAGTCTGTCAATGGTCCAACACACATGTAGACAGTGTGTGTACCAACAGTCCTACGTAGACACAGGATATCTGTAAAAAGGGTTTTTTTTGTTTTGGTTTTGTTTTTTTGAGGCAGGGTACGCTCTGCATCCCAGGCTGGCTTGGAACTTGTGTGTACCTCAGGCTGGCCTCACAATCCGGCCGGTCAGCCTTTACGGCGACGGGATTCCAGTTAGGAGCCACCATGCCTGGCCTCCCTCAATGACTTCTTTCAGGCCAATAGCTCTCAGGCATCCAAAATTTCATCCCGCATATGCCAGGCAAAAGATCCATCTGAGGCCACTCTCCCACCTGCCTACTTCGTGATAACCATAGGGTATGACAGTAAAACCCAGGTGAAGGAAGAGATATACACCTGTTTAGCCATAAGTCCATGTATACTTCATCCTGAACTCAAATCCATTGTGTCTAGTTATTTGACAGCTGGTTACCTGCCCAAAGCACTACTAATAGGTGTCCACAGCATTAACAGACATAGCAGAATTAACCAAACAACATACTAGCTTAATAAAAGCAATATTAAATCAAAAGTAATAGTAATTAAGATGCGACATAACCACAACATTTAACCAAGACTGACTGAAAACAAAGAAGGCAAGAACCCAACTGAAAGTGGGACGGCGCTCTGGCTGGAAGGACGGCAAAGGCTGAGGGGCAAAAACCTAAGAGTTGCCCGTCAACTCTTGTGAGCTACAGATTTTAGGAATCTGTAACGAAGACAGTAGAAAGGACACTGAAAAGCCATCGTTAATGAATACACAAAAGTGTGTGGAAACACACCTCATTCTCTCATTCTCAGAAGCAGCAAGACTGGGCGCACAGAAAGGGGCAGCCACAGCCCTCCTACAGCAACGAGGCTACCCCAGCACAGTGGAACAGACTGGCTGGGTCACTCGGCCAACTGAGGTAGCAGAGTTCCGAGTGGTTGCCTCTAACTACTAAGTCACACAAGCGGAATCTATGGGCCAAAAACTATCCCCAAATGGGTTTGTCTTTGCCTTCAAGTTGAACTGCATTGTGGGATTTTTTTGGGGGGGGGTCTCTTTGAGACAGGGTCTCCCTGTAACCCCAGCTGGCCTAGACCTCACTATGTAGACCAGGCTGGCCTTGAACTCATAGTGATCCACCTGCCTCTGCCTCCCAAGTGCTGGGATTAAAGACATGCACCACCACGCCTGGCTCTGTGTTGTTTTAAAATCTGAGTTAGGACCAACACATTAACCTAAAAGACTTTACATTTTAAAAATAGAAAAAAGGTCAGCCATGGTGATGCATTATCTGTAATCTAGCACTCATGAGTTTGAAGCAAGAGGACGGCTACAAGTTCAAGGCCAGCCCGGGCTGTGCAGCAAATACCAAGCCAGCCAGGGCCACATAACAGAAGCCTGTGTGAAAAGTGTGCAGCAAATACCAAGCCAGCCAGGGCCACATAACAGAAGCCTGTGTGAAAAGTGGGAAAATCAAACCCTGCGGCTCCTCAAAGAGAGCAAGAGCGCCCACCAAGGACCAGCTGCCCTTCCGCTGTGCCATGTACACTCCAGAGCCCACTGTTCCCACCTTCCAGAAAATCTACCAGACACTGAATCACACCCCTGGCTGCACCTGCTTTGAACCCGAGCCATTCTTCTGAGATCTGGCTGGCTTCATTCATGCATGCCTCCTTCCAATGCTTGGGGTCATTTGAATTTGCAATCTTTGTTACTGAAGAGTATGCTGAAAAG